GATTGTTTTTAAATACATCCATCAAAGTCAGAGAAATCATGGAAGAGTTTTAATTCTTTATCTTCTAGACATCCTCTGACTCTTACTAAACTCTTACTGCATTATCTTGAGCAAATTAAGCATTTAATAATAAATAATTAAACCTAATATCTAGATTGAAAAAAATGTTATTCCCTTTGTAGCAGATATATTTATGTCTTCTGTCTATAGCATATATAGATTTCATTGTCTTGGTAAAATTTTCAACTTCAAATGTCAGCTACACAGTTATTTCCTTTGTTGGACTTAACCTTGTTTACGGTGATAATTTGTTTCTTGGACTCTTCTATAACTCAGACTGTCTTTGACATTTGCAATTGGCATGATAGATGTAAATCAGAGTCTCTGGATTTGTTTAACCTTTTCTCTTCACAGTTGGAATGACTTTTATTGTTATTAATGCAATAGTTTAATCCCAGCATGTGGCTCTGAAATTTTTGCAATTATATATTTTAAATTCCCGTATGTTCATACATGCAGATGCCTCACACATTAGTACATACACATGTCAGCATATGCCTGTGCACAACACTCATAGCAGTCTAAAACAAATCAGCATACACCCCACATATCAGTGCACATCTGTGCACGCACACACACCCCCCCCACACACACACCCAACATGCCTTAGTGTATAGTCACACAAAGGTGCTTTCTTAGCCATGGCTCTTATTTTGCCGAGCCTCTTTAGGTTTACTGTTCCTGGAACGCCCCACGGTTCTGCTCAGTCTCCTCCTCAGAGACTGCAGGCGCCTCGAGTCTGTTCTTCCCTCAGTAAGGGTGCCAAGTGAGAGGGCCTGCGGGGAAGCAGGACACTCTGAAGGCCTGGCACCCATGAATCTGGTGGTTCTCCCTCCCTGTCTGGGGACCTTTGGAGCTGAGCTCAGTGAATCAGGGCACGTGAAAGTCACTGAGCCTCAAGGTTCTGCTCCAGGCCCTTGGGTAACGCTGGAGGCTTATGTCTGTGCCCTCCGACGCTGGATTTGAACCTAGGGCTCTCTCCTTGCATGGCTGCCCTCGCCTTGGTCTATGCTGGTCCAGTTCTGCCCCTGCTTGTTTGAAGGGTCACATTGTGTGGGGTGTGTATGGATGTTCGTGGGGTGTACACTGATTTGTGAGATACACGCTGATGTGTGAGGTGTGAATTGACATTTGAACTGATGTGTGAGGTGTGTGCTGATGTGAGGTTGTGGCAGAATGTACCAACACGTGTGGGGTGTATACTGATTGTGTGATATTTGTGCTGAAGTAATGTAAGGTGTGTGCAAACTTGTGAGGTGTGCACTGACTGAGGTGTGTACTGACGTGTGTAATGTGTGAGGTGTACATCAACTGTGAGGTGTGTACAGATGTGTGTGAGGCATGCACTGACTGTGAGGTGTGTACTGATGTGTGAGACATGTGAGGTGTGCACTGACTCTGAGGTCTGTACAGATGTGAGTGACATGTGAGGTGTGCACTGTGAGATGTGTAGCGACGTGTGTGACATGTGAGGTGTGTCCTGACGTGAGGCATGTACCGACAAGTGTGATGTGTGCACTGACTGTGAGGTGTGTGCTGATATGTGTGACGTGTGAGATATGCACTGATATGAGGTTTATACCTACGCGTGTGAGATGTGTACCAACGTGTGTGACATATGAGGTGTGCACTTACTGTGAGGTATGTACTGACGTGTATGAGGTGTGTACTGATGTGTGTGATGTGTGAGGTTGTACACTGACGTGAGGTGTGTCCTGACATGTGTGAGGTGTGTACTGATGTGTGGATCGTGTGAGGTGTGTACCAACATATGTGACATGTGAGATGTGTTCTGACGTGAGGTGTGTCCTGACGTGTATGATGTGTGAGGTGTGCACTGACATGAGTTGTGTAATACTGTATGGAATGTAATACTGTGTGGAATGGTCACACCCACCAACTGGCCCCCTGGCGCCGTGTAATCCCATCAGCAGCCAAGACTCAGAGACTATAAAAACCAGCTCCCGGAACCGCGCGGCCGCGCGACATCTTATTATGACATCTCATTCCTACTTTGGACAAACTGGCAGGCTATCGAATGTAGCCTGCCCACAGGGCAGAGTCTGGCAAACTCCCCATGGCGTACCCAATATGCCAAATACCAGTAACAATGATGGGTCTCATTCTCCTAAAGAGCCTTGAATATAACCTCAGGGCCAGGATGAAGGAGATGTTACTGGGGCCTGCTCGAGGCAATCGACGAATAACAGGATGATCTGTGATCTGTGATCTGTGATCTGTGATCTGTGATCTGTGATCTGTGTGGAATGGAAGGTGCAGCAGATGAGTCTCTGGCAGCTTCTTGAGTCCAGTACAGGAAATCTTCAATTTTTCCGGGGAGGAGTTTGGACCTCAGCAGCTGCTGACACACCAGAGGACTCCTGGCTCATTGCTCAGTGGTTTCCAGTGCTCGAGGGACTCCAACCTCAGTAATTCAGGGCTTCGACCTGGGCTTCCGAATACAGAGCATAATGTGTCTGCTCCTGTCCAGTCAGCCCTTCTTGAATGCTTTCAGCTGTTGTGGAAGTGGTTGAAGCAGGTGATTTCCTGCTTCCTGCAGGGCCTGCTGTGTCTTCTGCTCTGCCTTTATTGTTATTTTCGTTGTTGTTAATAATTTTTGTGGGCTGGAGCGATAGCATAGCTGGTAGGGTGTTTGCTTTTCACGCGACTGACCCAGCTGACCCAGGTTCGATTCCTCCGCCCCTCTTGGAGAGCCCAGCAATCTACCGAGAGTATCTCACCCTGATGGCAAGATACCCATGACGTATTCGATATGCCAGAAATAGTAATAACAAATCTCACAATGGAGATGTTACTGGTCCCCCTCGAGCAAATCGATGAACAGCGGGAGTACAGTGCTACGGTGCTACTATTTGTGTGTGTGTGTGTGTGTGTGTGCGCGCGTGTGTGTGTAGGGGGGTATACCTGCTGTGCAAGGGATCACTCATGAAGGGGTTCAGGGGACCTTGTGCGGTGCCAGGGATGAAAACCCAGATTTTCCATGTGCAAGGAAAGCTCCTTAACCCTTGCACTGTTTTTCTGGCCCTCTGGAAACTGACTTTAGATTTTAGACTGCTCAGGGATAGTTAGAGGTATGGTGTGTCAAGGAAAGGGGGTTTGTAGCAAACACAGTGAACTGTACCAGGTGTTTATTCTGAGCAAGGCCTGGTTCCTGGTTCACACCTTCTTATTTGATACAGGTTTTTCTTTCCTTTTTTTTTTTTGTCATGCTGGAGGTAGAACCCAGGGCCTTATAGGTGCAAGTGCCATACTGGGGTCTCACACTGGTGCCCGTGACCAGCCACACCTTCACTTGAAACTTGCTTTGTGAATGTTCTGTGTCTTAATTTCCTGAACTCTTAATTTTTACTTCTGAAAATATTTAATTTAGTCATTAGGTTTATTAGTTACTTTTGGGGGATCAAAAACCTGGAGTGCTCAGGATTTATTCCTTCCTCTGTACTCAGTGGTTACTCCTGCCGGGTCTCGGGGCACTATATGTGGTTTTGGGGATTGAACCTGGAAAGAGAGGCTGGAACTCCCTCTGCAGACTTCGATGTTTCATATCGCTTTCTCTCAGCAGTAAGTTGTTCCTCAACAAGATCGAGGTGGTACTCCCTTTATGTTTGGAGCACCAGCAAAACCTGACGGCAGAGGTGGCGGGAGTTGTGGGAGATATGTGTGTGGGGGGGATATAGTCCTTGGGTTAATAAGGCCCTTGTCTTGCACACAGCTAATTTGATCCCTGGTAATGCATGGTCTCTGGAGCCCCCCCAGGAACAGTCCCTGACCACAGAAGGGTGTGGTCCCCAAATCAAAAGCCAAAATTGAGAGGACCAGGAGATAAGTCAACTGGCTGAGGGCAGACTTTTCCTGCAGGAGGCTGGGGTCAGCCCTGACTCCTCACTACTTGGGAGCACTGGAACACCAACTGAGAAGCAGCTCATGAGCCCTGCTGGGTGTGTCCTCAAAAGAAAAAGCTCGAGACACTAAAAAAAAATCTTACTGAGAGAAAGGGCTTGAGCGATAGCACGGTGGGTAGGGCATTTGCCTTGTCACAGCCAACCTGGGTTCGATTCCTTCACCCCTCTCGGAGAGCCCAGAAAGCTACCGAGAGTATCCCACCCGCACAGCAAAGCCTGGCAAGCTACCCGTGACATATTCGATATGCCAAAAACAGTAACAACAAGTCTCACAATTTGTTGTGAGACGTTACTGGTGCCCACTTGAGCAAAATGATGAACAACGGGAGGACAGTGCTACAGTGAGACTGGCACTGTGTGTGTGTGTTGGTTTTCTTTTTGGGGCACACCTGGCGATACACAGGGAATTTGTTCTTGGCTTTGCACTCAGGAATTACTCCTGGCAGTGCTTGGGGGACCCTATGGGATGCGGGGAATCAAACCCAGGTCGCCTGCGTGCAAGACAAAACGCCCTACCCGCTGTGCTATTGCCCCTGTAAATGTGTTTTAAATGTCTTTTGGCGTTCAGGGCTGCTCCTGGCAGAACTCAGGGACCGAGCAGTGACCCTAGCCTCCTGCATTGCAAACAAACAATAGTGAAGATAAATCCATAGACTCAGCATGAGCAGTACTTTATGATGTTTCATGTTGCTCACCTACCATATCCGTGAACCTCTGGCTAGTCACCCATTCTGAGTTGATTAACCAAGAAAAACAGGTTACACTTTTAAAATAAAGCAAAGCTTATGTCTTCTTGGTATTTCCTCAAGAGCTTCGCTTATTAGCGTTAATCAACAAGCCTCCAAGTATTTAAAGAAGGACAAAATTAACTGAAGTAGTTATTTCTGTATTACTGTTATTTATTGCTGTTGCAATAAATCAAGGATTAACATTTTAGGCTGTTGAAATATGGATAATTGCATTTCCTTAAAAATAAACAGTAGCAATACATTTTCCTTTTCTGTTTCTTTCTCATAGGCTTAGGCTTCAGTATTGCCGGAGGTGTGGGGAACCAACATATTCCTGGAGACAACAGCATTTATGTAACTAAAATTATAGATGGAGGAGCTGCACAAAAAGATGGAAGGTTGCAAGTAGGAGACAGACTACTAATGGTGAGTGCTCATCAAACAAAACAATGTCTTTATTTATAAATGTGTTCTCATTTTCATCCATTCAAGCTGCCAGAACAAATACTGTAGACTAAATGCTTCAAACATTCAAAAATTTGGTTATTCAGTTTCCAGTTTTCCTGGTTACAGATAGCTTCTTGCTAATTCATTCATGCCTTTTCCTCAGTACTTGTGCCTAGATGTCTCCTCTGCTCTATTTTTTGAAATCTCCAATGCATAGTTACAGTGAATGGGCTCCTATCACCAGACACTGCAGAGTAGAAGCAAGAGACTCAAAGAAGTAGCCAACAAAACGTCTCTTATATTGGGGCCGGAGCCATACCTCAGTGGGAAGGGCATTTGCGTTGCACGTGGCCGACCTGGGTTCAATCCTCAGCATCCAATACGGTCCCCTGTGTACTGCTTAGGTGTGACCCAAAACAGCAAAAAAAAAAAAAAAAGTATTTTATTAGAAAATTAAAGGAAAGAAATGTTTACAGGTGATTTGTGTGAAGTGAGGAGAGGAAAGCGGAAGCCTAAAGAGGGGGAAGAGGGGAGTCCATTACTTCTTTCTCATCACTTCCCCAGAAGTTTCTGGGGTGTTTCATACAGATGGAAATCTGCCTTAAACACCTGCATGGTGCAGCTCATATGTCTCACTAGCTCCACTTGGTGGTAGTCAAACTGCGCCTGACTCATATTTGATTTACACAGCATGGAATATCATTCTTGCCACCCAATTTCATGAGGAACCATAAAACTCTGACCAGAGCAAGGCTTTTTATCTTTGCAAGAAAGAAAAATCAATCCTAACTTCAACCCATGTTTTCTTGATGGTAGCCTCTAATCACAGAGAAGAATTTCTGGAAGGCCATGAATATTAAAGGCAGATAAATATATCTGGGAGATGAAGGGAAAAGAGAATTTTGCACTCAAGAGTTTCGTGAGCCGGGACAGGTAGATTGCTCCATAGCTGGAAGCCTGCCTCATGAGCAAAGGGGAGAAGGCAGCTGGAATAGAGAAGGGATCACTAAGAAAAAGATGGCTGGAGGAATCGGTCGGGATGGGAGATGTGTGCAGAAAGTAGATAAAGGACCAAACATGATGACTTCTCAGTGTCTGTATTGCGAACCATAATACCCCAAAGTAGAGAGGGAGAATGGGGAGTAATGTCTGCCATGGAGGCAGGGGGAGGGTGGGAAAGGGGGAGGGTATACCGGGGATATTGGTGGTGGGGAACGTGCACTGGTAGAGGGATGGGTGTTTGATCATTGTGTGACTGTAACCCAAACATGAAAGCTTGTAACTATCTCACAGTGGTTCAATAAAATTTTTTTAAAAAGAGTTCTGTGAGCATCTCCAGAATGAAGAGTGCCAAGTATTGATCCCCAGTAGAACTGCAGTAAATCCCCAAAATTGAGCAGGCACAACCTAAAGTAAGAAAATCTTAAGTAGTGATGTAAGATGTAAAGAAGAGCTCTAGGCCATTTCTTCTTACTGGGAGAATCCACACACTTGCCTCTGACTAATTTTTCTCGTTTTTGTTTGTTTTGTTTTGTTTTCAAACTTCCACTGAATTCTGCTGTGGGGCTCTCACTGAGAGGTGAAGTTTGGAGTTGTTGACAGTCTTCCTTTTTTTAACTTTTTAAAAAAATTTCATGAGTTACTTCGCAGTACTTGATTACATTTAATATTGAAACACCAATCCTACCACTATTACACCTTCTCACCACCAAATTCGGAATGTTTCCATCCCAAGCCCCAATCCCTGTCCCAAAGTACAATCGAAGTAATATATTTCATATTGTTTGTTATGAAAAACTGCTGAACATGCTCACAAGAAAGTGTTCATATAGGAACCAGTGTGGAGATTGTTCTATTTTGGCAGGAGCCTTTAATACATTCTATAGGATACCGCTAACATGTTGTTAGAGTTTGGGTGATGTGAGCTTTGGTATATATAACTGAAAATATGTATATGCATATATATAAATATATATATATATTTCCCTCTATGATTTGTTGCCTGGGCTGGAGCAATAGCACAGCAGGTAGGGTGTTTGCCTTGCATGCGGTCGACCCAGCCAACCCAGGTTCTATTCCTCCGCCCCTCTCAGAGAGCCTGGCAAGCTACCAAGAGTATCTCAGCCACATGGCAAAGCCTGGCAAGCTACCTGTGACGTATTCGATATGCCAAACACAGTAACAAGTCTCACAATAGAGACATTACTGGGTCCACTCGAGCAAATCGATGAACAACGGGAAGACAGTGACAGTGACAGTGATGATTTGTTGCCTACTATCTGAACTCCGTCAAATATGGTATGGTAATTATAGAGAATGAAGGGAGATGAAGGGGAAAGAAGAGAATGGGTAGAGAGTGTCGTCTGATGTGTCGCTTTCAGGGCTGCACGGTCTAGGAGTATGTTCACTCATTTGTGAGGCTCGGCCCAAGCGTCTGGGGAGCAGCCTTGAGCATTGCAGTGGTTGGGTTGTAGAGGTTTTCAGATGCCGGGGCTGGGTCCCTTGGGGTGGGGAGAGCTCTCATCCACCCTCTCTGGGGCAACCCAAGTAAAACAGCCTGGCACAGAGTCTGTTGGCATGACTATGGGGGCCTCATGTTATGCTCCCTTTTGGGAGAAGTAACTGTGTGATCTGGATGATGACTGATGATGAGATTATTTCAGTCTTCTTTTACATTTTTGTATCCCCCTATTCCCACACTGGAACCTCTCCTCCAGGATCTAGCCATCCCCTGGGCCTGGAATTTTATGTTTTCTGAACAAAAGATCTTCTGTCTCAAAAGTCTTTGTACCCCTGGGCTTGTTTTGTCATACCCAATTGGTATTTCCAGGGCTCCCTTATCTCTGTGCCTTTAACAGACAAAAGTCAGGGAAGCTGGTGTGTTCTCAACAAGGTCCATCCACAAAGGAGGAGGCTCTTTTCTTCTTCTGTTTATGTAGTCAGGAAAAGGAACAGGTTTCTCCTTTTTCCTTTTTAAATTTTCTTTATAAGCCTGAGCTTATAAAGAAATCATTCCAAAATTTCTTCCTTGACATACCATTTCATTGGTAAAGAAGAAAATAGCACCCATCCCAGACAAGGTCAGACCCAAACACCTGAAGAATCAGTCGTCAGTATTCATCAATACACTGCTCGGCTCTTCACATGCTACTTGTCTGAATGCAAGGTTCTGTCCCAATGGAAAACCAGCAGGACTGTTCTACTGTACAAGAAGGGAAATATCCATGACATTGGCAACTATTACCCAATTTGCCAGCTTGTTGTCTACAAGCTGTTCACTATAGTCATCCTGAATAGCATTGGCAGAACATGAGATGAAGGAAAACCAGGCAAGCAAGCCAGGTTCCAAAAAGAATTCAGCACAATCAACCATATCCACATGGTAACCAAGCTCATTGAGGTTTCTCGGGAGTTCAAGATGCCGCTCTGTCTAATGTTCATTGATTCAAAGAAGGCCTTTGATTCTGTTGAAACTGAAGCAGTCATTGAAGCCCTCTCCAAACAGGGTGTTCAAACTCAACACATCAGGATCCTTCGTGAGCTGTATTATGCATTCACTACCAGGATCTTACGATTCTAAAAGGAAGTGATCCTGGACATCAAGAGAGGGGTTTGGCAGGGTGATACCATTTCACTGAAACTCTTCAGTGCCACCCTTGAGAACGTCATGCGATGACTGGAATGGGAAGAAATGGGAGTGAAGATAGATGGTCAGCAACTACACCACCTCCGCTTTGCTGATGACATCATTCTAATAACACCAAACATTATCCAAGTGGCACAAATGCTGGCAGTCTTTGACCGTGAGTGTAGTGTGGAAAGGTCAGACTGCAGCTGAATCTCACAAAGACAATGTTTATGAGAAACGAAGTCATTGGTGACATTCCATTTGCTCTCAATGGAATGAACATCTCCGAATGCAGCAGTTATGTGTACCTAGGTTGAGAACTCAACATGACGAATAACCTGGCACCTGAGTTGTGCAGGAGGAAGAGAGCAGCTTGGAATGCTTCAAAAGAGTCAAAGAAATAACTGAGAGGACAAAGAACCTTCAGCTCTGTGCATATCTTTTCAACTCCACCATTCTTCCTGCATTAACATACACTTCAGAGACCTGGGCCCTACGAAAACAGGATGAGAATGCTATTCAGGTCTCCCAAAGAAGAATTGAAAGAGCTATGCTTGGAATATCATGCTTCACTCAGGTAAGAGAAAGAATCCTGAGTTCCAACCTCTGTCAACAATCAAGAATCAGGGATGCTGTCTCATTTGGCAAAGTGTCAAATATCAGATGGACTGGACACATGTGATTTGGAAATGACCACTGGACTAGAGCTGTTGCCGACTGGATTCCATGGACATCCAAGGATTGTGTGGCCGCCCACCTACAAGATGATCAGACTTCTTCGTCAAGACCCTGAGCAATCAGTTTGAGGCTCTTTGTGTTCCTGGAGTGAGTAGACGCCATTGGATTACATTAGCAGGTGACAGGGACGAATGGAGAGTTACTGGTGCTCACTCAAGCAAACCGATGAGTAACAGGATGTCAAGTGATCAAGTGATCAAACCTGTACTATGCAGGATATTTATTATGACTGTCACTGTGGCCTTTTATCCTGTGATCTTCATCTCTCTCAGGGCAATGTCTTTTTAAACTGATTTTATCAGCCAATTTCCCCCTATTTCTCACTATTCCCCATAACATTTACCTTTTTAGTTGGTGATTCTAAAAGCCATTATAAAGCAGAAGTGTTCAATTTTATAACTACTACCTGCTTAAAATGGTTGTTGAATCAAGTTGTAGGGAAAAACCCGCATTAGGGGCTTTACAGAGGTTCTTGGTAGAAATCAGATGGAATGTTCACATTGAACTTCATCTCTACCAACATCTACACTTTCAAAGATTTTGAACAAGGAGTACAAGTTTTACTAGGTTTTTAAAAGACTCCAAGTGAATACTGGAAGGAGAAATAGAGAAT